TAAATCCTGGCAGTTGCTTGTGTAGGTGAAGCCTAGCAATGTTCATAAAGATAGGGAGAACGCACTGTTAGTGAAACTGCTTTGCAGACATAATACTTTTTAAATGCCCGATGTCCTCTTCGCTCTGTCCTTTTACCTGCACATGGAAGTATTTCAGACCAACACCAGGTTAAAATGGGTCAACAATAGTGCTCTGCCGTGCTAAAATCGGACACCTTGAAGCATATGTTGTTAGCCTCATTTTGTCAATGTCATGATAGTTCTGCTAATAAAAATCATGCAAGCGTGAATTTGTAATACAAAATAATGATATGAGAGATGTCAACAAACTGATGCGTAATCTCCATTTCTGCAAAAGCTGCCTGGACTCAGCAACTAGTCTCTATCTTAAGGCATTGATTGAATAACCATTTTTAAAGGACAGTTGCAAAGCCCCAAAGCATGCGTGTGTGTGTCTGTGTGGGAAGGGGGCTAATCCGCCTTGTGGTGCTGTTGAAGGTCTTTGAGAGTCTATGGTGCCCGAGCCTGAGGTCACACACCCTCTTCTCTCTTCAATTCATCCTCCGTTTCTATGTTCCTCTCCCCCTTCTTGATCATCCTCTCCTTTCATTTCCTTTGTCTTTTCTCTCCCACTATTTCCCCTCCTTCCTCCCCCGTGTTTTCAGTTTCTCCAGCTTCTCACAGGGGTCCCTCCACAATCACCTTCCACTTACTCAAACTCGACCCCCATTCGTCTAGCATCCCCTCCCCCACTCCCGTCTTCCAACCCACTTCCCTCCAAAAGTTCTCCAACTCCACCTATCAATCTTTCTGTTTAATATTTTAACCGATTTAAACCGCCTGTGCGCTCAACACCCTCTATCAGTTTGGTAGAGTACACTGCTTCGGTGGTCGAATGCTGAACCGGCTCTTCAAGATCCCTTGTGAAAGATCAGGCTGAACTTTGACTCGTACCCCTCCTCCCACCCTCAGCCTCTGGTCTTTCATACAACCCGTTTCTCTCTTCCGCTTATCCAGTTCGGGGTCATGGGCGGGGGGCTGGAAACTATCCCAGTTGCCATAGGGCGAGAGGCGGGGTACGTCCTGAACAGGTCGCGAGTCTATCACAGGGCTAACACAAAGACACAGGCCACCAATCGTGCTCACATTCACACCTACGACCAATTTGTAAAGTGTAGGGTTAGGAAAAGTAACAGCCAAATGTTCAACTTCTAACGAGCTGATAGCCATGGCTTATATTCATTAATAACAGTCGGCGTTCAAGTGAACAAGGTCAAGTGTGACTCTCCGGCTGGTGTATTTATAAGATGCTTTCTCTTCATGCTTTAAGAAGGAAATAAACTCGATAATCTCTCGCTGCGTCTGCTGTTTCCTCCTGCGTGGAGAGCTGCATATATGTAGCCGCTCTGTCCTGTCTGTGCCTTCACAATCAGCATCATAGCGGGTGATGCATAAATTAAGTGCAACATTAAATTGCAAGAAATCCGGCCGCTCCTAGGTCATAGCTGCCGGGTCTAGTTCATGAGTCACTGAGATACAAACAAAGTCCAAAACTTACAATTAGTTTTCTTACCAAGACTACATGAGCTTATTATGATCTGTAGCTTTAAGTAACCCAAGTTCAAACTGATCACAAGAATTCCTTTCATTCCAGGACGCCTACAGGAGCCTCTTCTTTCCCATCCATCTTCCAACAGACACTCTGATAAGGCACCTTAGCTACTGGATGACCTTCTTCCTCTCCACCCCCCTCTAGCTATTCATCAAACGCTTAAGCAAAGTACCAGCTCCATCTCCCTTCTCATCTCCCGTTCTGCTTCCATGTAACTACAAATTTCTCTGGACACAAATATGATCCTGTTTTGGGATCCAAAGCCAGGAATTTGAAAGACACACACCTTCAACTCTTAAGCAAGCAAACACAAACACACACGTGCATCGCACTAACATATGCATACTGCAGTGACAAGTGGGTGCGGATGGCAAGGGGGACATACTCACGTCACACAGAGATATTTCCACGCTAAAAACTGACAAGTTCCAGATGATGCCAACTCCCACAGATCTCCAGTTGCCATGCCCACCCAGTGAGTGAATGTGATTGGTTCTAGTGTGTGTGTGTCTGCATGTGTGTATGTGTGCGTGTAATTCTACTCCCACCTTTCTGCCACATGTCAGCAGTTGCTCAGTCACAGACACACAGTGATACCAGATTACAGCCTCTTATGTAGAAGAGTACTTGCCTTTGCATGCATATAACTCAATCACCACAGTCCTTCAATACTCTTATATAACACACGCACGGAATATAATGCATGAACGACATTTTGCATTCCAGTAATTCAGGATATATATTACATAAATGTCAACAAGTTTATTCTGATCATTTAGCAAACTAACCAAGCAATAGTTTTAAAAATCCAATCTCAACTCAGAGACGGAGACCTCCAAGACACAAAGAACTGTCAAGAATCCCCAAGTTTCTCCGTTTCGACAAGTAGTAGAGTTAGAGACGGCAATAAAGACAAGCATGTGTGACAGAAAAAGCTCAACAAAGGCTAGACGTTTGTTTTCCGATAAACACACCGCCGTTTCCTAGATGCAGGGCATCAGGCAAAGCTGATTTTAGCTCCTGGGATTCAGGAAGACTCGTGGAGCATCTTGTGATGGAGATGACAGAAAAACAAGCACATGCTTCCCACAGGAAATAAGCACACGCTGAGAAACATAAACACCAGCGGTTTAGCAGAGAAAACATTCAACTGCACAGTGTGACCTCAGTCTTTTTAAGGTTCTATAAAATTAAAAAAAAAATCAGTATCCATGCCTTATATCAGTGTTAAATGTCTAAATATGACAAACACTTTGCAGAAAAACATGAAATATACATTTATAAGCCGAAAAAGTTGTTTTTGTGGCACAGTATAAAATGCTTCATCACAGCAAGCAGTTCCACGTGAGTCCATGTCACTGTTTTCCTCCTCCGCTGAAACCTCGGCTCAGTCAGTGTGCTAAACGTCATATGACCGCCCGAGACTGTTGTTCTACATCTCCAACTGCTCACCGCACCTCCGTCTCTCTGCCTGCTCATCGACAAGAAGTGAAAGCTGAAAGACTTTCTCCTTTTCCTTCGATGCTGCACAACCTTTCACCAACCGATACACTTTTTGCCTACACGTCTCCTGTTCACACCTCGCCCCGTGACAGACAAATACTCAATAAAGAAGTTGCATCAGTGCACCACAATGAAGCAACAGCATCCTGTGGTGCGCTGCAATCCATCCTGTCAAAAGTTGGCCAGACTGCAGGAAAAATGCAATAGTTTTATGTGTCTACTTTGAATACTTTTCAAATGTTGAGACAGGATACCGCATCTCTGATACTGCAGATATCATGCAGGTGTCATTATCTGATTTGGCACCGTCATCAGGAAGTCGACCCCACTTGCATTTTGGCCTATATTGCTTAGTATCCTCTTCCGCTTTCATTTATACATGCGGTGGTGGTGATGTGACGCACCACAGCATCCGCTCACTCGCAGCTGAAAGTCAACCGTCACTACCAGAGACCCACGACACACGTATAATGAAAATACACATGCATGAGTAAGAGAAAACGAAGAGCCTGAGCTCCAGCTTGACACTTTGTTCCATCTGTGATGCAGTGCCCCAGTAAACACTGAATAACATTTTAAGCCATTTTCACACGCGAACTTTGGAAGATTGTCCAGGTTACTGCACTGGTATATCTTAATATATCTAATAATATAAAACTATATAACTGTGATGTCTTAAAATGGTAAATGAACTGGTACTTATATAGTGCATTTCTACTCAATTCGAGCAATCATAGCACTTTCTTACTACAATCCTCATTCATACACAAGAGACATACAAGTGCTTTTAAACACTTGTTTTCTATCCTACGTTCTGTAGAAATCCACTGTCAGAGGTGCACATGAGAACGTATATGTCCCACCTAGTCAATACAGAGATTTTAATCTTTAAACTGTCATCTCCCTAGTGCAAAGTGTTTCTTGCTGCCTCTATTTAGACAGATCCGTTGCCAAGCAGAATACTTCTAGTAGTTCTAATCGCAGACCCTAGCAATACTCTCTGTGTTCATGCAGTTACAATCCAAAGGATGCATCCAGGGCAACTTAGGGTTCAGCATCTTGTCCAAGGATACTTGGACATCCAACCTGGAGGACCAAAGGGTCGAACCGCCGGTTTAAAAACCGGCAGATCTCTGATCTGACTACAGTAGGTGGGACATTTGCGTTCTCATGTGCACCTCTGACAGGTGATGTCTACAGAAGTCAGAGTTGCAGCTGATGAGAGACAATAGCTTTAGAACAATACAACTTTGGCCTAAGGAGGTGCTAAATGTCCAGGCCAGCACTATAAAAATTTTTATAACCAGTCAGCTAAATAATTTCAAGCAGTGCAGTCCCTTGAGTGACAGCTCGTGCTGCATTAAATCAGTCCAAGAAGCAGTGGATTTTTAACGACTGACTTACAGTTTGAATCCATTATTCATGAAAACAATTACTGGAGGATCTTCATTACGTCTTCTGCTGCTTGGGCTACAAATACTATGACCACTGTGATAACAGCGTACCTCAACACTCAGATCCACATGCAGTGAAACTTAAACTAAAAACCACACAAGCAGAAAATGTGCGCTCAAACTCACAGCAAATGTCCATTTACCAAAGTCACAGTCGCTGCCTTAAATAGCACACGGACCTCTGATGGATTTTGTTGTAAACAGTTCCCATTTAATCCGCACTGGTACATCAGTCCCAGTCAGACTGATCTCCTTTCGTGCACAATTACACAGAAAGTCTCTGCCTAAACAGGAAGACTATATCTTCCTGTCAAGGTAATAAGCAAGAGGCACAAATAGAAAGGGTAAAATTCAGCACCTGGATGGCAACTTTTTGAGACTTTGGCAAATAAACAGGAAATGACAGCACAGTTTTAACAGCGTAACCTTACCTGTAGCTCACACCATGCCACTTCCACTGTTGTCTCAGTGTCCAAACCCTTGTAGACAGTCTTAAAAGACCCTCTCCCGATCTCAATGTCAAACTTCAGGAAGCGTCCATCTGGTGAAGTTCCTACAGCTTTTGTTTCAGCCTCCTCTATGTCCTCTTGCTCCCGTTCCCTCTGCTCTGCCCGTGCTTTCGCGAGCCCCTTCTCCTCCTCCGTCTCCCTGTCTTTCTCCTCGGTTGGACTACTGATGCTTCCCTCATACACATTTCCTACTGCTTTTCCATCTTTGGCCACCTGTTCCTGAAGCCCTCTGGGACGCAATACGATGTCAGGCTGTTTGGCTACTGTTTTATTGGCAACATCCAATACTGTCGAGCTGGGCTCTGTTACTGCCCCATCTGCACTATGTTCAACACTGCTACTGGTAGGAACAGCAATCGTGCACACATCCAAATCTCCCTCGGCATTTTGTAGATCCCCCTCTTCGACTGCCCCACCATGCCCAAATGAAGGCTGAAGGGTACTGCTCTGCAGATAGGAACCTCTTTGGGACTCCTCACCTTCATAATCCTGTCCTCCAAGGTTTAAAAGCTGCGGAGAGAAGATGATGGGAGTCCCTTCACAGTCTGGGGGTGATGTGAGTAACACAGCTGCTTTGCTGGGCAGATCCAAAGCTGTGGCATTCGAGTCACAAATGACACTCCGGCGGAAGAAACGGTGCTCGGCCGTTTTAGAGTCTCTATCCATTGTGTGGCGCCGACGTTGGACCTCCGGCTCTCCAAGAAGCTTCTCCACGACATGCGTGTCTGAACTGGCAGAGCCGTTCACATTCTTGTGGGGGGTCTGGGGTGATGGGCAGGGGGACGGAGAAGAAACAGGGGGAAGAGGAGCAATGAATTTCACTGCTTTGCTGCTGCTATTTTCTTCAGACATTCTTTCAAAAAAAAAAGCTCAAACTGTAAAAGAGCAAATCTTTATGTAAAGACTTTTATGTAACTTATTCCTGTAAACTCTGAGCGCAGATCTCAACCTCCTAGTTCATTAACCTTTGATCAAACCGCAAGAAAAGGAAAGTTAATGTGCAATAGAACAAAAAACAAAATCGACTGAATGCAGCAATCCTTGATGTCTTTTGTATTTTTTGCTTTCCTCTTTGCAATGTTTTAAATTAACAACCCACAGTTTCTACAAGGCCCTTTCGTGGAGGGCTCAGGGAAGCCCCAGGTGAGTGGAAGGGGCTTTCTCTTAAAAACTGGGGAGGGAAGGGATGAAAGGCAGTCAACAGAGGAGGGGTGCAAGCACTGCAGTGAGACGATAACCGTCAAATCAACACGTAACTCCATCCTGCTGCCAACAACCAGACTGGGATGACCGCAACATGGAATGACTGGAGATCGATTAGACCAGTATGGCCTCTTAAAAGATGACAGAAGATGCCTGGACTCCAAAGTTTGATTTTTAGGTCTGGGGATGTCTCTGTAAGACCAGGCTGAAGCCTCCTCAGCTGCCTGAACTTCCAAGAGAGGTTGCTGGCCTCTATTGTAAGGCCAGATTGATGGCTAGGTAGGCCTAGGCCTGGCCTAGCCTGGCCCAGCTTGGTCTGCTTCTGTCCTTGTCCCTGGAAATAAAAAGAGAAAACTATGAAGTGAAACTGTTTTATTTATAGGTATGAGTATACATGTCAGAATTCAACATACCTGGCTGCCTGCCAAAGTAGCTGATAAGAACACACAAGCCGTCAGATATTTTTTTATTGCATTTTATTGCAGGAATTTGAAAGCAATTTCAAAACCTTGACTTTTTTCTCTCCTTTCTTAAACCGGGACTATCCGGCTGATTTCTATCTGGATATCTTTTTATTCTCTGACTCAGACAGGAGTCCAAAAAATCCTCATCCGTGTAGCAACTTTGCGCGACTAAAATTATCATCATTTAACTTATAGTAGACCTTTGCACACCCTTTAATTCATCATGTCTGACACAAGCCATCGAAGCTCATCTTTTGTTTCCAAGGTCACCCACACTCTGTGCTCTATGGAAACTGTGGGCCAGATATCTAACAGCGACACCTCAGGTCCCAAAGACCAAGTCAACAGAGGACAAGCGATGGGCGTACTAGACTGGACTGACAACGTCAGAAGAGGAAACAAGGCAGCCAAATGGTGCCGTAGGCTTGGGCACACTGTAATCTGTATTATTCCCAGGCAAGAAAGTAAAGATGAGTCACTTATTTTGTTATTGTTCTTGTTATGAACTGCCTGGTTAATAAAATGAGAGCGAATAAAGAACTGGGTTTGAACTGGTGAGTGAATGTTCACGGTACTTCACCCACTGTCAGGAGTCATTAGTTCAGAAAAGACTTAAAACACTCGGTCAGGCTTTGGTTTGATATTTTTTCAGTGAAATTAATTTGCCTTTGCTCAGCACAATTTTTTTTTAAATCTCTAATTTAAGCATGTTAACCAGATGGAGATCTGCATCCCACACCAGTCTCTCCCTCCCAGCTGCCCCTCCATAGTTAAAGCTGTGATGTAGCAGAGACTGTGCCTAATTGCTCCATGTTCCAAATTTAGCCCAAGTCAGCACAGCCTGACTGACCCCGAGGTTAGACTGCTCGGTAGCAATTCAGCAGATTAACATGAGAGATGAGGGGCACTCAGTGACACAGACAGAACTACTTCACAGAAATGCATATCTGAGGACAGTGCACAATATATTACTATGCATTTTGTGTTAGAGGAAATGTAATAACTAATTACTACGTTCAGAACTTGCAAGTCGGCTCGCGTAACGTCCTACAGACGCCTTCTACTCGGTGATCACAGTGGCACCGGCTCAGAGAACGAGCAGCTGCTTTCATGTGTGATGTTAGAAACAATTCACTGTAAACGTATTCAAGCTTCAAAACAAACCAAAGCAAGTTTTCACAAGTTTGACACTGATGTGCAAAGAAGAACGCAGAGGATGGTCCCAGTTTGTGGCCATTAAATTTACATATGAGCTATTCTTCAGAAGACATTTTTAAGCCACAATTGTGTTTCATTTAGTCCCAGAAACTATTTTTTATCATCTCAATTTAGGGAAACGGTTAAAAGACAACCGCTGAGAAGGTTATAGTACGGATGCACCTGAAAGCTATGACCTTACTGCTTATTTGAACCCTTTCTAATATTGAAATCTGCACCGTACACCTATGTTTGGTGCTCCATTACATGCATAACGACACAAATCTTTAAGCAAATGTTTAAATTTCCATGAAATAATACTACAGATTATTAAGCCTTACACACATTCTGCCCTAAGAGAAGCCCTTTACTCAGACGAGTTAGGTTCCAGTCTGGGAGCGAATGAAACGATCTTTGAAAGTGTAGCACCTCTGTTGGACAGCTGTCTGAAACGATGGCTGCACTGATACTGAATTACTGCTGGTAGGAAAAAACAAACATGAAGTTGTGCCTATGTCAAGAAGCTCCTATCAGCTATGTTACAACAGATGCCCTTCCTGATACAACCCCAAAGGAATTTGTGTCTCCTCCCAAGACTGGACTGGGGACTGAATGTGTAACCCACTACACGATGGAGTCACTGCAGGTGTGTCTATAGATCACTGCTGTGATTTCATAACAGCTGACGGAAGCATAAATAAAGACTTTTAACAGTCAGAAAAAGGTCAATACAGTCAGACTTAAACTTCAGTGTTTGCAATAAGTACTGTGGATTACTGCATCACTGGTGTCCCCCAAGTACCAATTTGAAGTGTCCCTTTAATAACCCGATGCTTTTATATTTGCGTTTCTATTGCACCACTGCTAAAAAAAAATGTGTAAAGTATGTATACAATGTTAATTTATATTCAATATAAGCAAATCTGGTCTAATAGGAAGAAGATTTCTTTTTAACTTTGAAATTACAAGCTCAGGTTAAAAAAAATGCCTCAAAGAAGGCGCAACAAGAAAGATTATTACTTCTTCTTATTAAATGAGTGTCAGCTTGTTGAGAAAACATGTCATATCGTGGCTAAGACATCCATGGGCCCTAAAACGGACTTATTCCTGGTCCACGAGCCACATGTTTGATACCACTTGCCTAAGCAAAACTCTATGATCTAAACTTATTTTTCAAGTAGAATGATAAGGGCAGCATTAAAACAGGTAGAAGCAGCAACATTATTATTGATATATAAAGGCTTTGTTATCACATCATCAGTAAATGAACTCCAGCGGTTACGAGCGGATCATAAAAGCCTGATGTGTGCACATGAGCAAATAAACCTTGGCTGGCTTTCGCTCAGTGGTCTTTATATTGCTATGGTATGATGTATGACAACAGCAGTGCTGCACTCGTGAGAAGCCTTGCCACTGAGCAGAGTGGAAATGCAGTGAGCTTAATTAAAGCTGCAGAGCAACCCCGTGCAGTGACGGCTTCACTGCTGCCTGTTGAGGAACTCCAGAAAACGAGGCTGTGTCGACAAGTTTGTCTACAGGCAAAAACAAAGACGCGAGCAACGACTCTGCAGAAAGCATTGCGATGCAAAAACAAAGGCGAAGCATTACCTATGACATCGGTGTGGTCTGTGCTGTTGCCGCAGAAATGTGAAGGGGGGAAAAACTTGATTAGGGAGCCTTTTACTCCTCTGCAGAGGGTCTGCTCTACACACAGCACAAGTGTCAGTGTGGTGCGTCACATTAAAGCCACAGTTGGTTGAGGGAAAACACTAAATAAGAGCGATTTGTACAAAACACAACAAATATCCCTCAAATTAAAAAGGTCCAATCAGTGACGAGACGAGCGGTGCGTGCAGAGAGCCCCAAGCCGACAGACAGACACCTCCCACAGGACAGAGATGACAAGTTCGCCCGCTGCTGTCGCGGAGGCTGTGGTACTACTTTTCTCTCCGTATTGTCTGTGTAAGGCTTCCAAAAACAAAAAAAACGATAACAGCCTCACTTAAAGGTAACGTATCCCGACCCGTGTCGGCACCCGGTCCGCTCGTGCCGCCTCCGCGTCGCTCCTCCGGGCTCGTACGATGCTATAAATCCGCTGCGGTCCACAGTGATTCCCCGTTTTCAAGCCATCAGACAGCGGATCCGTCTGCTCTGGGATCTTCTCCAGCGATGACTCGTCAAAGCAACTGCTGGGCTTTCACGCAGCACAGCCGCATCAATTCACTGCTGCGAGCGAGGATGCTGGAGCTGTATAAGGCCGCTTTTCAAAATAAAATAAATTACTCCTCATAAACTCACAAACTTCCTATATCCCTCCTGCAAGCGTGTTCAGTCGTGAAAGGGCTGTTGTTGAGTACAAACCCATGCAATGCAGCCCCCACCAGAGTCTGTTTTCTTCAGGTACTTGAAGCATATATGTTGAAGTGATGGAGATCCAGCTGTGCCCCTTCGTGGATCTACTGGAGCAGCTTCAGCAATAGTAAGTACTGTAAGCTCTCAAGCTCTCAGTGTCATTCTAATAGAAAAGCTATCATATAATGTAGGATGTATTATTCAGTCATTAGAAATAAGAAACACGTGTTAATTATTTTATAATGTAGGGAGAAATGGATCCGAAATTGATTTGACTTTTTTTCGTTTTTAAGTTAATAGTTGACTAATAATTAATAATTGTCTGTATTGAAAAGTAAGCAAAGACAGTTTCTGTTTTAGGCTCATTTTTTGTTCATTGTCAAGCAAACAGAAAAGGTTATTCAGCAGACGCTTCGATCTTATTTTGACAACTCAAGCCGGAAATGGTTTTATTTCCTGCTGAGGTAATTTACAACGGCTACCGGAGGCAAACCCGTGCATAATGACCCACCAGACAGCAGCAGTGTGAACCAACACGCGCCGCTCATCGTGTTTTTATTTCATTTGTTTTTAACACGTGCTTTGCCATTTTTTATTTAGACCGATAATTGTTGAGGCTGTTCAATGACGCCCCCACCATCTTTTCCTAAATATTGACTAATTTACCCTGAAAGAAAGAGGCTTTCACTTCAGCAGCAGGCCCACTATATGCTCACGTTTTCTTTAATTTTTTTAAAACAAAATTTCACTTCACTAATTTGGAAACACACTTCACGCTTGCTGCTTCCTCCAGATTGTCATGCAAATGTTATTTTACTAAAGCAACTGTTTTGAAAATGCCACACACAAAAATCTGATTGTGGATTGTGAAAACTGCTGACTAATTTTCACAGTCATCACCAACAGCTTTCATCTGAACTTAAAGTTTCCACGGTGAACAGCAGGATGATTCGCTCTGTGTCGCTGGTACAGGAAAATCAGCTGGTAAAGAGTTGAAAAGGATGTGTTCACGCCTGTGACTTCTACCTGTGTTTGTTACTGGAAGCAGTGGCAAGGCTACAGCAAAAAGTGAGCCATTAACTTGTTTTTGTTTTTGGAGTTTTCACATGGCCACCTGTAGCTTAATGTGCCAGCGAAACAGGAACGAGTGTCTCAACGCAGATCAATTTTTTCAAGCCTGGTCTTCGTTCCTGGTGCGTGTGTGTGAGGTGGTGTTCCTTTGCCTGTGTGTGCATGCTGCACATTTTTATCCTGCACTTTCCTTTAGGCAAAGAAAGAATTATGAGGTTGCAAAAACAGGTTAGCCAAGTACAGACTAAAGCAGATAAAGTATACAAAAGCACTCCTGAATGCAGGAAGTGTCCGTAAAAATACAGCCTGTGACACTCAAAATGCAAAATGTGTCTTCATAGGAGAACATATTTTGTTCCACAAAGTTACAGGCCACAACAAAGGCATCTGCAGTTCCTGTGAAGTGACAGTGCTGCCCATCGATAAACATTAAACATTTCTATAAGCTCAGGTAGCATCCTGACCCCACTGTGCTGTAGCGTGCAGCTAATCTCATTTAAAGGAGCAGTTGGGCATGTATGCATATTTGCTTTCTTGCAGTGAGTTGGCTGAGCCGTCAAGCAAGCCTAATTAAAGCTTAATATCCTAATGTGTGCATCCTAATATATTACATCCCAGAGTATGTTATTATAACTTGAGGCACACAGAGAGTTTATGGAGAACATGCATGACCGAGATACTCCAGTCTGCTTTCCCCCTACACAACAGGCTGAACAGGCTTAATGTCACTTTTCCTTTTTATTACTATCTGACTGGTGTTGGCGAATATGGATGACATTCTGCTAAAATTTGAATTTGTGGAAATTGCAAGAAGAGAAGAAAAGCTTCACATAAATATTTAATGTATAGTCATGAGAGAGTTCTCAGTTATCTCAGATTTAGTCAAGGAAATCAGTAAGCATATCACAAAATGTCAAAATAGTCTTTTCACCTTTAACTATCATGTCTCTAATTCCAGGACAGTTGTTTATGCTTTTCAAGCATAACCTGGAGAGAATTGAAAGCTTCTCCTTTTTTACCATTGCAGTCATTTCACAGGAAGTCACTTTGGTTTGCATTGTAAAACCTGGAATCCAGTTTGCCTGGAATCCATTATCTAAAGAATTAGACTCATTTGAAACTCTTTAATTGTTGTTCAGAGTGCAGGCAGTCGCAGGAGAGCTACAGTCATGGAACAAAGAAAGCACAAAGAAAGCACAAACTCTGTCAATTCTAAGGTTTTACATATCAGGACATAACAAAAACAAATCTGGTCCTCAGCAGGTCTTAAAATTAAGTTACTATAACCTCAGATGAACAACAAAATATGACACATTACACTGTTAGTATGTGTTTAGGAGGAAGTAAGAACATCAGCCATGATTTTAGATAAGCAGTTGTTGTGCTGCGCATCAACCAGGGGAGAGCTATAAGGTTATTTCTGAATATTAAAGCCTACAGTGAGAAAGATTATTCAGAAGTGGAAAATGTCCAACATAGTTGCCAGTCGTTCCCAGGATTGGAAGTCCCAGAAAATTCTCCTAAAGGTTAGGTAATATGCAATGCTCAGAGAAAATGGAAAAGCCCAAGAGCTACATCTCTATAGGCCTCACTTAGCATGTTAATAATGAAAGTCCAATGAGAAAACAACAGGACATCTATGGCTTGTTTGGAAAGGTTGCATGGTGAAAGCCGCTTCTTTCTAAAATGAGCTTGGCAGCAGATTGGCAGCAAAAGAGTAAAGTGGAGATGTTTGGCCATAATGCACAAAGCCATATTTAGATAAAGCCAACTGTCAAACATGATGGTGGAGGGCCAATGATTTTGGGTTGTTTTGCAACCACAGAACCTGGGCACCTTGCAGTCACTGAGTCAAATACGAACTTCTTTGTATACCAAAGTATTCTAAAGTCAAATATGAAGCTATTTGTACGACAGCTAAAGCTTGGCTGAAACTGGGTGATGTAACAGGGCAACAATCCCAAGCACAGAAGTAAATCTATAACAGAATGACAAAAAAAAAAGAAAATAATCATGGTGTCGTAATGGTCCGGTCCAGTTTAAGAAGCACGCGAATAAACAAGTGCCCACAAACTTCAATGATCTGAAGCAACATTGTAAAGAAGAGTGAGAAAAAATTTGTCCACAATGACATGAGAAATATTGATAAAGTTCTAAACTGGTGCTAAGGGTGGTCCTACAAGCTATTAAATCATGGAGCGTACTATATTTACACACACTGCTTCTGCATTTTGGCTCAGTATTTGTTAAGCAAATAATGACACAGTGTAATATGTCATGTGTTCCGTTCATCAACGGTTACAATTACCTAATTCTAAGCCCTGAAAAGGACAACATTTTTTAATGTCCATACATGTATGATCGTAGAACAGACAGAGGGTGTACTTTTCTTTTTTTTTTTTCACCATGACTGTACATTCAAACAGATCATTTTCACAGAAATTCAGTACCTTAGAGCTTCAGGCAAGCTTCATTCACTGACAAAGGGTTTTCTGAAACACACAATGCAACACTTCAACCACTTCCTTTTTTGTCATTTCTCTTTATGCCCCAGTAACCTAGTTTTATCTAACTTTGCTTCAAACACAGCGCTACCCCACTCCAGTCCGTTTTGCTTGTTCAACCTGTTTTTTCAACGTAATCTGGGTGCTGTTAGTTCTAGTTAAATGAGCCGCCATAAATCTGACGTTTAAAAAAACAATAATAATAATGATTGAAGTTATGCCAAAAGCATGAGCAATTTTGTTTGCATTTATAATAACACTCTTAAAATAACACTCTCACTCATTTTTTTTAATATTAGAATGACAACACTATTTTCATAGTCACCAGGAAATGTGATTGATTAAATTCCAGTTGGCTTATTCCACCCTTTGGCTATACTGACTCCACTACAACAACATTTCATATTATCCCCAAGTTTTACTGATAAAAGTGCAACGTTTCAGTGTTATCTTTCCTTCTATATGGTCTCTTTAAAATGCATTTCATTATTTTTCATCCTTAACGGGAGGTGCGGGCCGTGCTTTTCCGCAGTATGTGCTACAGCTTCTTTTTTGCGGAGCTTCTTACACCTCATAATGATACTAAAAGAGGTTTCTATGTGTTACAGTGCACGCTGTTAAAAACCATCTTACTCTGGCCCTGAAACTCACCCACTCAGCACATGCAGAAGCAAGCAAAAGAAGAAGCTGGAGACCAAAGCTGAACCAAGAATATGTAAAGAGGAAATATGCAAAGGAGGGCTGCTGACATGGCAGTGCAAGTACATCAGTTACTGGTGGGTGAATCTTCATGCGATTTGAATGTATCTATATGTAAAACATAGTGCACAATAAACACAGTATGGGTTCTTGTGTCACGTGTTTGGTGATGTCAGAAAAAATCTGACCTTCCAAGCAAGTTCCAGCAGGCTGGGGAATTTGTCGAAACTTGGCTCAGGTAGTCAAAATAAGCCTGTATGTGTATCTTTCACTTAAATAAACACCAGGGTACATCTTCTTGGCAACCTGTCTTTGTCACTGCTGCATCTCTTGCATGGTAGATACACCAATTTTTATATACTCTTGCATTTTATGTTCCTCTTTAACTGTTGCATCATATATTACCGTAATTTGATCAATGTGTGAGGCCTGTGACCAATCAGATGCTGGTTGGCTGCTATGATTACTAACTAATGCTTCTCTGCACTTAAAAAAGAAAAGCTAGCATTTGACTAATTTCTTGCTATTCTAACTTTGCCTTCTGTGGGTGTGGAAACACTTAGACTTATTTAAACGACTA